ATATCTTCTTTCCCACTCATTTTTAAAGTGTTGAGAAGAGCATGGTTTTCTCATTTTGCCTTTTACCTCTTGAACTAGAGTTCTTAAAGTTAACTTGCCTGCCTATGGGGCTTTCCAGATCAGCAATGATTACATAATATACAAGTCTCACTGGAGACCAGGAGGTCCAGAGACACCCTGAAGCCTAGGAAATTAGATAGGGGTAGGACTGAAGCAAAGATCCCTGGTGGTGCAGTGGTTAAGTGCTTGACTGGTAACTGAAAGGTCTGTGGTTTGAAACCACCAATTGTGCTCTGCCGAAGAGAAAAGACCTGGAGGTCTGCTCTGTAAACATTAAACCAAAACCAAAAAACAAACCGATTGTCATCAAGTCGATTCTGACTCATAGCAACCCTGTACCACGAAGAACTGCCCCCACGGGATTTCCAAGGCTATAAATCTTTAGGGAAGCAGACTGCCACATCTTTTTCCCATGGATTGACCAGTGGGTTCGAACGACTGACCTCTTGGTTAGCAGCCAAGTACTTACCCACTGTGCCACTGGGACTCCTTTCATAAAGGTTACAGCCTAGAAAACACTATGGGGGAGTTCTACTCTGTCCTATAAGGTCACTGTAAGTCGGAATCAACTCACAGCATTGGGAGAAATGAAGCAAGAAGTCCTGGTGAAGCAACAATTAATCTCTCTGCTGCTAATCAAGAGGTCAGGGGTTGAATCCACCAGTGGCTCTGAGGGAGAAAAGGCAACTACTCCCAAGAAGATTACAGCCTAGAAAATCTTACGGAGCAATTCTACTCTGTACTGTAAGGTCACTGTGAGATACAGTGAGATATTCTGTCAGAATTCACTTGACAGCACACAACAAGGATTTTTTTAAATGAGGAAAACAAAAGCTCTTAGCATGTGTGCTGGACAAATATATATATATATATGGCTATGAAACATTCACTTGTTAGGCTTTGTGACTTACATCTGCATGCTGCAGTCAATGTGTGTGCAGTTGTGTCTGTGAGTGAGAGGGTACATTCAAAGTTTCAACGAGAAGGAAAATCATGATTCTGGATTCATCTGCCCTACAATCAATGCCAATACACAAAAGAAGAAAGGGAGGTGCGGGGCTCACCACAGAGGAAGGTGGGCCGTCAGAAAGTGATGCTGGCTCCTCGATGGCATCCCCCTCTACCTGGCTCTTCCTTGCAATTCAGCAGTTTACTAAATGTTTCCCTATGGAATTAAACATGTTCCTTGTACTTTTCTATAGTTCTACATTTTTATTGCTTTTATAATCCAAAAAGTAATTAAAGTAAAATAATATATTTTAGTGTTTGAGAGCTGTTCCAATGCAAAATCTTCAGGGAGTTTCCTCAATTAGAAATTGGGCCCCAAGGCCCTATATTAGGGGTGCTGATTTGGATATCACAGTTCCTGGTCTAGAGCATGGGCTGTGATACATAATAGTCCTGCCATCCTGGTCAAGACTCCCAACATATACGAGGCTTAACATATTGTAAGAATCACCCGAGGCAGATCGTAGGCCACTCTCCCAGAGAGACTCATTCTGCAGGTCTGGAGTAGACCCTGAAATATGCTTTAAAAAAAAGAAAGAAAGAAATTATTGTGGTTTGGGTGAAAGTTTACAGAGCAAATTCATTTTCCATACAACAGTGCATACACATTTTGTTTTATGACACTGACTGCAATCCCTATAACGTAACAGCTCTCTCTTCACTTCCTCCTTCTGGTTACGCTTTCTGTGTACTTCTTTCCTTATGCATTTCTGTCCTCTGAGCTATCTCCCTGTGCAAATACTTCCCTTCTGATAACCCATGAAAGATTATTCTAAGGAGTGTACTTACCTGATATAAATGTTCACCTTATATGCCTATCATTTCACACCTTTCATGGGAGCGAGTTCAATTCCAGACCAGAAGTCTCTATTAGACTGGTAAGTCCGGTCTTTTTTTTATGATTTTAAGTTTGTTCCACATTTTTCTTCCACTCTTTCCAGGATCTTCCACTCTTTCCAGAATCTTCCACCCTTTCTTTCCAGGATCTCCTACTGAGATCCCTTTCTGAGTGGTTGACAGTGGTAGCCAAGTACCACCTAGTTCTTTTGGTCTCACAGTCATGTAGGCTGAGGTTCACATGGTCCACTAGTCCCTTGGACTAATGCATCTTTAGCTTTCTACATTTGGCTTCTTCACTCCAGATGAGGAGAAACCAACTATTGCATCTTAGATGGGCACTGGAATACGCATTTTAATAAACAGCCCCCAACCCAATGCCACTGAGTCAGATCCAACTGATAGTGACCCTTCCTTGGGTTTCCAAGGCGGTATCATTACGGAAGTAGATTGCCCAACCTTCCTTCTGAGGAGTGGCTGGTGGTTCAAACCCACCAGCCTGGTTAGCAGTCAAATACCTTAGGCACTATGCACCAGAGCTCCTGATAAACAGCCCGGGTGGGTCTAATTAAAGTGGTACCACTCTTTGAGAAACACTATCTCTAACACCTCAAATCTCCATTTAAAATAAATTCAGTATTAAAATTTTTCAAATATATTTTAAATAGAGAGAAAAATGAAATGTATATCCATGTATCTATCACCCAACTTCAACAATTATCAACTTGAGCCAATCTTGTTTCAAATAATAGCCTCATCTACTCCCTCCAATCCAAGATTATTTTGAAGAAAATCCTTGACATTTGTACTGTTTCATCCATAAACTGTTTAGTATCTATGAAGGATAAGGATTTCAAAAATGACCACAATAACACGAATATTCTTTAAATTATCCAGTATCCAGACAGCATTAAAATACCTAATTGTCTCATTATTTTAAATAATAATTTGTTCAAATTAAGACCCAAATTAAATCCATACATTACCATGTCTCTTATATTTCTTCTAATTTATAAGTTTTCTTCGCCATCCTTTTTTTTCCTTGCAATTTTTTTTGTTGAAGAAACTGGGTCATTCATTTTATACAGTTTTCCAGAGTCTGGATATAGTAGCTGCAACTTTGTAATATTCTTTAATACATTCTTCTGTCTCCTGTATTTCTTGCAAGCTTACATTATTAGCTCTAGTGGCTTGATCAGGTTCAGATAAGATTTTTTGTCAAGAATAATTTATTTTCATTATGAGGCATACAGTATCTGGTTATCTCTCTTTAGCAGCTATTGATGGTCAAAGCCTATATGATCCATTTGTTATCAGAGTTTGCAAAGGCATTTGACTTCTAACCAGAAGCCTGGGAGTTCAAACCCATTAGCCACTCCTCAGAAGGAAGATTGGGCAATCTACTTCCATAGAGATACCACCTCGGAAACCCAAGGAAGGGTCACTATGAGTCTAATTGACTCGATGGCAATGAGTTTTTTAATTTTTTAAAATAAGAACATTAATTCCTGCCATTGAGAGACACCAGGCTTGTTACTGAGATGAAATCAGATAATCATGGTTGTTATTTGTAGAACTCCTACTTTGCTTCAGGCTCTGTACAGCTGGTGTGAGGTAGGTACCATATTTTGCCTGATAAACAGACAATAAAACTAAAATGAAGTAACTTGGCCAAGATCTCTCACACTGCTGAAATTTGGTGAAGTCAGAATTCTAATATAGGTCCATCTAACTACAAAGCTTATAACCTGTTGTCCTCCATTCTGACTCATAGTGACCCTATAGAACAGAATGGAACTGCCCCACAGGGTTTCCAAGGCTCTAATCTTTCCTGAAACAGACTAACACATCTTTCTCCCTTGGAGCTGCTGGTGGGCTTGAACCTTCCTGTCAGCAGTCCAGTGCTTAACTTCTGCTCCAGTAGGGCCCCTATAAAGCTTGTGTTCTCTAAAAGATCTACTTATTGGGGGACTAAAATGGCACCTAACAACTCTTAAGCAAGGCACTTGCCCTAAGCGATTTAAATGATCTCACCTAACCTTCTCTGACAGTACTGTAGTATTGGTAGTTATGTGCCATCGAGTCTGACTCGACTCATAGCGACCCCTCCTTGGGTTTCCGAGGCAGTGTCACTACAGAAGTAGATTGCCCAACCGTCCTTCCAAGGCGTGGCTGGTGGGTTTGAACCCCTGGCCTTCTGGTTAACAGTCAAGTGCCTAGACACTATGCTACCAGAGCTCTCAGAGAAGTTAAGTAACTTGCCCCACTGTCATACAGCCTTGGGGTAAGGAAAGAATTGGTTTCTGTCATTCTTCTCTGTGGCACATTTGTGTGACCTCCCAGCATCATAAACTTTAATAATGACAGAGGTCAAGGCATGTGACAGCTAGTAATTGGTAGAAATGAGAGCATGTACTGTACGTGGCAGTGTGTCAGTGACGTCGCAGTTGAGCGGACTCCGGGCCGCAAACAAGTGTCCTCAAATATAAAAGTGAGAAAACCACGGTGCGCCTGCTGACACAGGCCATCCGAAGCAAAGGGCGGTGCGCAAGCACTCAGAGGCCTCGCGGATGGCGGGGGCGAACAGCCTTTGACAGGTCTTCCCGCCTTTAGGGGGCGCCAAGCAAGTGTGGCCAGCACCGGAACCCCGCAGCGCGTTCCTTTCGTACCCACCAGTGCTCGGGATTTCAGGATCCGGTGGAAAGCAACTTGTCAGGTTAGAGGTTCCGGATCCCTGGGGGTGGGGAGACGTGGACAGCAGAGTAAATGACCAGAGGCCAGAAATTCGCCAGCAGCGGGAAGAGAAACTTCCTTTTTTTCTGCCCCTTGAGGTACCGCGAGAAAGGACGGGGTCTGGCTTCCGGACAGAAGCTAGGGGAGGTCCCGACTCCGAGGTAGGGTTGGAGGCGGGGAGACGGGCTTAGGACAAGCTGTCAGGGCCCACTGCACACACCCCCATTTCTCCCCATTTCTCGTTCTGCGTCCCGCTCTCCGGACCCTGGCTCCCTATCTGGACGTCACCTTGAGTAGCCAGATTCCCTTCCCTTTTGGTACTTCTGTCCCCCGCCCCCACTCACGCCCTTCCTCCCAGGTGGGGCTTCCATGGAACAGCTCCTGACCCAGCTGTGCGGCACCGGCGCTGCGCAGCCACTCCCGCTGTGGGAGGGGGATACCACCGGCCACTGCTTCACCCAGCTGGTGCTCAGCGCCCTGCCTCACGCGCTCCTCGCCGTGCTCAGCGCCTGCCACCTGAGCACCCCGAGGTGGGTAGAGAAGAGTGGAAGACATCTGTCCAGATGTGCTTTAGGTCTCACCATCAGCCCACATTTCCCCTGACATTGTCGCCAAAATAGGGATATCTCTGGAGTAGGGCAAAAATAGAATAAAATCTGGGCTTTGCCACTTACCAGGTGTGTGGCTGTCTTTGGGCAAGTTACCTATTTTTTCTGAGTCTCAAAGCATTGTTGAGAAGTTTTTATCAGATAATACCATTAAGCATATAGCCCAGTGTCTAGCACATTTTTAAAGACCTTTTGCATGTTAGAAATCATCAGGATTGGCGCTTTTCAGATGCCCAAAAATAACTGTTGTGGGTTAGAGGCAAAATTGAGTGAAAAATGTTTTTAACAACAACAAATATATATATATTTGTGTTTAGATAGAAGTTCTGGTGGCATAGTGGTTAAAGAATTCGGCTGTTAACCAAGAGGTCAGAGGTTCTGCTCTGTGGGAGAAAGAAGAGACAGTCTGCTTCTGTAAAAATTTACAGCCTTGTAAATCCTGTGAGGGGAGTTCTATTCTGTCCAGAAACAGTCGCTATGAGTTGGAATCAACTCAGAAGCAGTGGACTTGTGTTTAGGTTGTAGGTTCAGTTTCTCACTACTTCTATCTGTGAAATCTGTGTTCTTGTACTAAGACCAGCATTTGTAGACTGAGCTGGAGAGGAAGTGGTAGTTAGAAGAAAAGAGAAGAGCAAATCAAAACCTTAATCCTTCCCTGGTTTAGGGCTCTAAGGTGTGGGTACTAAACTCACTTTGACTTTGTATTTAGTTATTCTATGGCTAGAGATGGCTAAAGTTAGCCTAACTCTAGCTGCTGGAAAGGCAGAAAGGAAATAGTCTTTGCCTTTGGGGGTTGCTAGTCTAATGAGGGGGAAGCGTCCCTATCAAGAGGAATTATGGGCTGAGGAATCCCTTCCCATAGGGAAGGCTGTGGATCTGCTTGGTCTGGAGGAAATCCTGATTTATTTATTACAGAGTGAGATGGAAGTCTAGAGAGGGTTAGTTAGCACAGACATTCACAGCCTGCTCAGGGGAGGATGAAAAATCAGTGCAGTCCTTTTGCAACTCGTGGTCTTACAAGCAAGCAAGAGAGATGAACATGTAACCAATAGATGTTGTATATCTCACTTCACTTATCAGGCTTTTGTGTGTCTCTGAAAAGAGAGAGACCCAGAATCACAGACAGGAATGGACCTTCGAGGGCTTTGGCCCCAAAGCCCTCACTGTAGTGTTGGGGAAAGGAAATGTAGAGAGGGAAGGAAACTTGCCCAAGGTCATGAAGTGGGTTGGTGACCAAGTTGGGGCCAGTGTACCTGCCCCTAAGGGCCAATGTTTCTTCCCCACTTTAGTAGAATTATTAAAGGTCAACTTTGCTTCCAATCAGCCTCTCCACGTAAGTGTCAGCAGTTGGACTATTAAAGAAACCCAAAGCATTTTAGTCTGCAACTGAACTTTTTTGGTAACCCAGTCCTACCAACAGTCTTTGTAAGGTACAGTAGACCTTCAAGGCATTCTAATATTCACTGCTGGAGATGTTTTCCTGCACATGATTATCAACACAGACAAATCACCTTTTATTTATTTTTTGCATGCCATGAAGACATAGACAAAACTAAGGAAAAGGTTTTTCTTCAGCTTAATCACAAAGATGACCTACACTATCTTCTACCATCGGTGTGGAGAAATAGGGTAGACTATTCTGAGGCTTCATAAAATTTACGTTACAGTGTTACTATATAGAAGTTGTATGTAAGTCAGATTTTTGTCTGTCTAGTAGTGCTAAATTTAAGGGTTACCTGAGGTTGGTACTGTTGTTAAAATAAGTAGTCATATACTAATGCTTATCTGTTTGAAAATTTAGGATTTTTTTTTTTTTTTCAAAATAGAGTCTTCACATTAGATACAACCTTAGCACAAAAATTTTAGTGCTTGTGGAGAAAGAACAAATCAGAAATGGTGTGAGTAGCTTAGAAAATAAGTTGAGTTAATTCAGAAAGACTTCCTGAAGAAAAGGCCCTGGGTTCCAGGGTAATGTGGGGTAGGGATAAGGTGTGCAAGGTAAGAAAGGGAGTTGATTCTCTCTAGGAAAATGAGTTGTTAGAGGTGAGGAGTATGCCTGGGTCCTGAATCAGCCATGATGTGCCTCCTTTTTTCTTCCCCTTCATCCCCAGGAGCCCAGATTACATCCTACCATGCAGCCCAGGCTGGCGCCTCCGACTCACAACCTCCTCCTTGCTCTCCATCCTCCCTTTGCTAGACCTCCTTCCAGCTGCTCTGCCACCAGGAGCAGGCCCAGGGCCCATAGAGCTAGAGGTGCTGGCCGCAGGCATAGCAGCTGTGGCCTGGATCAGCCACAGCTTAGCCCTGTGGGCACTGGCCCGTTCTCCTCATAGCCACTCCCGAGGGCCCTTGGCCTTGGCTCTGGCTGCCTTCCTGCCAGCCCCAGCCCTGGTACTGACCCTGCTATGGCACTGCCAGAGAGGTACACTTCGTCCCCCACTTCTCCCAGGGCCCCTCGCCCGCTTTTGCCTTCTCATCCTGCAGCTGGCTGCACTCTTGGCCTATGGACTGGGCTGGGCAGCTCCTGGGGGACAGCGGGGACCCTGGCCCCAGGAGCCCCTCTTGTCTGAGAGGCAGGAATCTGAAGTGGCTGAAGATGGGGAAAGTTGGCTGTCACGCATTTCCTATGCCTGGCTGGCACCCCAGCTGGCCCGTGGTGCCCGTGGAGAGCTCCGGCAGCCGCAAGACACTTGCCGCCTCCCCTCTAGGCTACATCCAGCCTACCTGGCCCGCGTCTTCCAGGCACATTGGCAGGACGGGGCCCGCCTATGGAAAGCCCTGTATGGGGCCTTTGGGCAGCGCTACCTAGCACTTGGACTACTAAAGCTGGTGGGAACCATGTTGGGCTTCTCAGGCCCCCTGCTGTTATCACTACTGGTGGGCTTCCTGGAGGAGAAGCAGGAACCCCTTAGCCAGGGCCTGCTCTATGCCCTGGGGCTATCCATTGGGGCTGTGCTGGGTGCTGTGCTACAGAACCAGTACGGGTATGAGGTACGGAAGGTGACACTTCAGGCCCGGGGAGCTGTGCTGGCCATCCTGTACCGCAAGTCTTTACAACTGGGACCCAGCCGCCCCCCTGCTGGGGAGGCCCTGAACCTACTAGGCACAGACTCTGAGCGGCTGCTCAACTTTGCCGGGAGCTTCCATGAGGCCTGGGGTCTACCTCTGCAACTGGCCATCACCCTCTACCTGCTGTACCAGCAGGTGGGCATAGCCTTCATGGGTGGTCTGGCCTTGGCACTGCTGCTAGTACCTGTCAACAAAGTGATCGCCACACGCATCATGGCCAGCAACCAGGCAATGCTACAGCACAAGGACGCTCGGGTCAAGGTGAGAAGGTACTGGGGGCCCCCTGCAGTCTAAAGACCCCACCCAGCACCCCAGGCCCTGGGGTCTTCCTACACACACTGCCTGAGGGAGCGAGCACAGTATAGAAGTGAAGAGCTCAGACTAGAGAAAGAAGGATCTGGGTTCAAATCCTGACACTACCACTTAACTAGTTCAGTCACCTCAGACAAGTCATTAATTCTCGGGGGCTCTGTTTCCTCATCTGTAAAATGAGTATAATAATAGCTGGTCTCATAGGGTTGTTGTGAGGATCACATGAGATAACGCTTACCATAGTATCCTTCACAAATTAAGTGCTAAATAAATGTGGTCCATTGGCAGTTCTACAGTGCTAGCTCATGTGAACCTAAACAGCAACCCTAGGATGTTAGAAGTAACCACCCTGGGACCAAATGGGTTTTTAGTGACAGAGTCAGGACCCAAGCCTCCCAACTCTTTGTCTAAGGCACTCATCACCCTGTGACTCCATATGGAGAGCTTATGGGAACCCAACCACCTGTTAGGTGGGCTGTAGAGAAGAGAGTAGGTTACGTTCCTGCCTGGGCCAGCTTTTATAAGGGTCTGGCTGAATCAGGTCCAAATTCTGCAGTGATTATGGGTACCTTTACAGTGGGGAAGGAGCTCTGGTGGCCTAGTGCCTAAGACATTTGACTGCTAACCAGAAAGCTGGTGGTTCAAACCCACCAGCCACGGAAGGACAATTGGGCCATCTACTGCCTCGGAAACCCAAGGAGGGGTCACTATGAGTCAAATCTGCCTCAACGGCAGTGAGTTTGATTTTTGGTTACAGTGGCGAGGGAGCTCTGGTGGTACAGTGGTTACAGAATTTAGTTGCTAACCAAAAGGTTGGCAGTTCGACCCCACTAGCTGTTCTGCAGGAAAAAGATGAGGCAGACAGTCTGCCTTGGAAACCCTATGGGGCAGTTCTGCTCTGACCTGCAGGGTGGCTGTGAGTTGGAATTGACTCGATGGCAGTGGGTTTGGATTTGGTTTGGTTACAGTGGGGATGACGATCCTGAGGGTCTATATAGCATAGTTTTAAAACTCTTATTGAAACAGATTGGAGTGGTAATAGTGTGTATGGAAGGTCCCCCTGACCAGCCTGTCCCAAAGTGGAGTTATAGATGTGTATGTGTATGTGTATATATATGTATATGTACATAGCTAGAGGGATATGGAATATCTGGAAGCTCAGAATATTCAACATTCTCTACCAGGAGCCTGGGGAGATTTGAAAGAGAAGATGCCTAAGCAGTGTCTCTGCTTTACACTCCCCCTTGTCCCCTGTCCCTAGCTTATGACGGAGCTGCTGAGTGGTATTCGAGTCATCAAGTTCTGTGGGTGGGAGCAGGCACTGGGGGCCCGAGTAGAAGCCTGCCGGGCTCAAGAGCTGGGGCGACTACGGGTCATCAAATACCTGGACGCAGCCTGCGTGTACCTTTGGGCTGCCCTGCCAGTTGTCATCTCCATTGTCATCTTCATCACCTATGTCCTCATGGGGCATCAGCTTACTGCCACCAAGGTAAGGGCTGGGATTAGAGGAGGGGAGAGTCTATGGAAGGTGTGGAAGGGAAGTAGCAAGGAGACTGCAGTGGAGCAGAGAGGTGGGCTCAGACCCTGTGACGCTGCCTGATAAGGAGAGCAGGAGGACCCCTGATTGCCTTATCATTTTCTAACCGAAAGGAAATTCCCTTTTCTGGGACCTTGGATATATTTATAACCTACCTCCTGTGAAGGAATTCCTCTTCCCTCTCCAATTTCCAGTCAAGCCCAAGCTTAGTGTTAGATCCCCCTTATATTCACTCAGATGGCTTTGGGGGAAAAAAAAAAAAAACATGATCCAGTGCTGGGTCTGGCCACAGCCAGATGATGCTGCTACTTAGAAATTCTGAGGAAGTTTCAAAATGAGCTAGGCTTGTGCTCTCAAGATACGACCTAGATTCCTGTAGGAACAGATCTGAAATTTCTAGGATTCTTGGGATCGCCACCTCTGCCACCTCCAGTCCAAGGACTAACCAGCCATTCTCTCAGCTCTGCCACTGCCCTGTTCTTTCATCCGCAAATCTATCCTTAGGGATATCCATAGAGTAAGCCCCTAGATAGCACTCTGCTCTGGGCTTCAGGTGATGCCTGTACTACCCCACTTAGGTGTTCACAGCCCTGGCACTGGTAGGAATGCTCATTCTTCCCCTCAACAACTTCCCCTGGGTGATCAACGGGCTCCTGGAGGCCAGGGTGTCTTTGGACCGGATCCAGCGTTTCCTCGACCTTCCAAACCACAACCCTCAGGCTTACTACAACCCAGGTAATGGACAGCTAGAGGGCAGGATCTGGCACAGAATGAGAAGAGGACTTTGGCCTCTTGGGGTCTATGAATAGATGCTACCAAGATGAGTCAATGGCAGCAGAATCCAGGCAGAACAGGTGGCCAGTTCCTGGGGGAGGGCCCTCAGACCAAGACTAAGGCTGAATTAGCTCTGAGTAGGTAGATATGGGGCAGGTGAGCCAACAATATGCCCAAGCAGTCTCTTCCCCATTCAGAGCCCCCCACAGAGCCATCTACATTATTGGAGCTGCATGAAGCCCTGTTCTCCTGGGACCCAGTTGGAACCAGCCAGGAGACCTTCGTCAGTCACCTTGAAGTGAAGAAGGTTTGTTTGTCAGAACGCCCTGGGAGAGTCCCCAGACTAGTGGGGAAGATGGAGACTTAGAGACAGATGAATAAGGACTGAGCCAGTCATAGCTGATGGTCTGCAGCCATGATGAGTGGAGGCACTGGAGGGGTGTGGGCAGGCTCTAATCTCAAAAGACATGATTCCTCATCTCTGGATCTCCTTCCTCCACACACAGCTTTTCCAGAGTAGTCACATCTCACCTGGCTTTTAGGCTTCCATCCAGTCCACACCAACAGGCATGTTTATGTCCCTCAGAGGCTGCAGAGTTCCAGACAGACCCTGGGGCCTCTCCAGCATTGCCCCAGGCTGAGGACCTAGGGGAGAGGCACAGCTGTCCCTTCCAAAAAAGATTTTGCAGATGGACTAAATCGTCCTGTGTTTAGCCTGGTGAAGAGGAATCACACCCTGTGACTCACACCTCAGCATAGTCAAGGAACTTGAAGCATTCCTGGCAGGAAGGCAGCTCCTATGCACCCCTAGTCCTGAGTTTCCACTCTCCCCTGACCTCTATCCAACCCCTTGCCCCACAGCTCAACCCAACTTTCTCCAGTGGCAGCTGAACTGCCTCCACCACACTTGGCTCACATTTCTAGCTTGGACTGTGTGTATGTTTTGTTTTTCCTCTTAGTTCAGGCAAGACAAGGCTGGAATTTTTCAAAAGAATTTTACTAACGTGTTAGTTGGGGCTTTTTTGGATATAAGCCATAGAAACCTACTGGAGCTAGCTAGCTTAAGCAGATAAGAATTTATAGTAAGGATATAGAGATGAGTCATAGAACCCAAAGGCCAGAGTGCAGCCAGATCTCAGAAACGGCTCAGAACCAGGCCTCAACTGACACAACTCCTGCCGTCTGTCTGCTTCTCACTCTGGATCTGCCTCATGCTCTTCCCTCTGTGGACTCACTCTCCACGGAGCAAAAGATGTGACCCACTGACAGTCTGTAGCCAACAGGAGAGAAACTGCCTCTTGCCTAATCCCAAATTCCTAGTGAAGGGTCTCACATTGGTCTGGTGCCCACTCAGAGAAGAGTCAGCCCTGGCTGGCAGGGTGGGGCATCACAAACAGCTTCTAGAGAAGAAGAAAATATATTTTTTTTTCTTAAGCTAGAAGGTCTCTCCATGAATGTATGTTACAACTAACAAATGAAAGGAAAACATTTTAAACTGCAAATCACAAACCAGGTACCTTAATGAAGCTCCACTTTTTGCCCTGATGGAGATCTAGCTGCAGGTGGACTTTGCCAGCCCAGCATCTGAGCTCCAAAGCCTGGAGTCCTTGTTCCCTCCCCTCTGCCTGTTCTGGGATGTCTGCCCTGAGCTTGCCTTGGAAATTCTTGGGCAGTTTTCTTCCCAGTCTCTCTGCCATGCTGCTCTTCCCTTCAGAGGCCCTTCCTTCATACACACATGGAAACTGTTAGCTACTCTAAAGAGGGAATAAAACACCCCTCTTCTCTAGATCGAACAAGGCCTCAGTTCCTGAGATATACAGCTCAGCCAGTAGGCTGGTAAGTTCTTGTCTTTCAGACTAATTGGGGCTGGGAGATCAGGAGTCTCGGTAGGCCTTTGGAGGGAGACACAGCTGCCTGCTCTGCCCCTCCTCCTTGTAAGCAGTGGACATCTAATGTGTTGTTTCTTTGCAGGGTTTCCTGGTGGGCATCGTGGGAAAGGTGGGCAGTGGGAAGACCTCACTGCTAGCCGCCATCACCGGGGAGCTCCACAGGTAATCAGCCTCCGGCGCACACCTGTCCTCAGCTTGTCCATTTAACAGACACTTCTGAATCCCTGATCAGTAAGTGGTAGATGTATTTTTAGGGCCAGGAGCACCAAGAACAAGACATGTTCCCTTTCTTGGAGGAGTTCTCAGCGCATAAGGGAGGGGCAGGCAAGAAAGTGAATCATCATAGTCATCACACCTGAGTGTTGTAAGTGCTGTAATAGTAAGAAAAGAGAAGAAATGGAAACATTCAGTATCAGTTAACTCTTTCAGAAAATGAGGTTGTAAAAGGAAGGGACCCGGAGAGGAACATAGGTTTGAGGGAGGGCCTTTTTGTTTTAATGTGAAAGTGAGTGCAGTGTGGGGGCCACCTTCTCTTCTGAGTCCCAGAGCATACCTAGAAAGCAGTTTCTTTCCTTCCCATTCCAGAATGAGCCTGCAGCCTCAGTCAAAACCGCTCAGCCTCACTGCTTCTAATTCAGAGAGCTATGGAACATGTAAAGGGGGAGGAAGGGTTTAGCATAAATAGTTCAGTGTTCCTCTACTAGCTGAAAGGTTGATGGTTCCAACCCACCTAGAGCCTAAGAAGACAGCCCTGGTATTCTGCTTCCGAAAGGTCCAGCCTTGAAAACCCTGTGGAGCAGATCTGCTCTACACACATGGCATCACTATGAGTAGGCATCAACTCAACAGCAGCTAATAACATGTAGAAGACAGGCATCTGAGGAGGCCTCCTGGAGGCAAGGCTAATAATAGAGGGACCCAATGAGGATCTGGCTCCCATGCTGCTGGCCTGGGTCTCTGCAGGCTGTGTGGACAAGTGACAGTGTCAGGACTGTCCAAGGGCTTTGGCCTGGCCACCCAGGAACCCTGGATCCAGTTTGCTACCATCCGAGACAACATCCTCTTTGGGAAGACGTTTGATGCCCAGCTGTACAAGAAAGTGCTGGAGGCCTGCGCCCTCAACGATGACCTCAGTGTGAGTGCCTAGCCCTGAAACCTCTTTGGCCACCTGATTCCCTGTCTCTGATGCCTCAAATCAAAGACTTGTTATTCTGGGGATGGGCTTCTCCAGCTCAGGGATCATTTGTTTAGGACTGGCCATCAGGCTTGGGTCCTCCTAAAGTGTCTAGCTGCTTGGTCCTCCCTTCTCCATAGGGCCCAGGGATTTGTTGGTGACTAGGTGTTCCACACAGCTGTTGGAAGAGCCCTGAGGCCCCTGGGGCTAGGGAGGGATTCCCTGTGAGGCTTAGCTGTATGTATGTCTGGCTACTTGGTCTGATCCCAGAAACCCTCAGGGAAGGCTTGGAAGAGCCCAGTCTCACTTAGTTTGCAGGTTACGCTAGGGAAGCCTGCCAAACCCATTAGAATCCCCCATCCAGAATACTAACTTAGAGGGCAAGAGATTCCAGATTTTTCCCATGATTTCCCCACCCATCCCTCTTCTCCCCTCCAGGGCTATCATTACCACTACCCTGTCCAGGTAAAGTTGGAACTGCTCTTAGAAAGGAGAATCCTGGAATTTGATCGTAGGGTATCCTCTTACTATTTATCATCTATCTCTACATCAAGCATGTCCCAAATGTCTACTGGGTACTAGGTACTGTTCTAGGCACTAAGAAAAGAGAGGAATAGCAAAGCTTTTCCTACAGGGGGCTCACCATCTAGAGGACCAGAGGTATTTCTATAGGTATAGGGGTCCCTTGAGGAATCCTGAAGCCATAGGAAGGCTTGGAGTACCTTCTTCTGTGAAAGCACCCACACTGAATTTGCTCATCATCGTTTCCTGTTATAAAGGCAGGGTAGTAAGTGGAGCAGAGTGGGTAAGAATCTGGGCCTCGGTCTTGCCCCTAACTTGGGCAAGGTAGTTTATCTGTCAGAGCCTTGCTCTCCTTGTCTGTGAAAAAGAAATACTACTACTTTTGTAGGTTAATTTGGGGATTGAATGAGATAATGTCTGTAAGGTGCTAAACACAGTAAGTATTCAATAAATAGTAGTAGTGATTGGAATTATGCCTTGTCCCTTAAGGCTTACTCATACCAAATTCAAGTCCAGTCCTCAAGCTCAAAGTTCTTTTGACTTCTGCCATATCTTCCTTGCAGAAGGGTGGGAAATGGGTATGGGGGAGCTCTCTGAACAATACTATTTTTGGGGGGGGTCCGTCCCTCAGATCCTGCCCGCTGGAGACCAGACAGAGGTGGGGGAGAAAGGTGTGACCCTCAGTGGAGGGCAGCGGGCCCGGATTGCCCTTGCTCGTGCTGTCTACCAAGTAAGTTAAAGGTGGGGGTGGGCAGGAAGGTAGAAGAAGTCAGGAGCTTTGGGAGCTTGACTGAGAGGGGAGATAAGGATGTTTCATCAGCATTCCTCCACCTCCATGTTCCTGAGACATTTGGTCCTTTGGCCATCCCATTCCCCCCTTGCAGATTCAAAGCAGAATTAAAGGCCTATTTAAAAGCATTATGTAGCTTGAGGACCTGAGCCCTGGCGAAGCTGAGTACTGGCCCTCGGGCACTGTCTTTGGAAAGAAGTCCACCCTCAGGTCTAACCTCCCTCTCTAATTCTATAGGGGTAGCTCGCAGAGTTCCTCTCAACTGTTTTCTCTGATTGCTTTGAAGTCACTTCCTAGGAGAGTCTCATGAGTTCTGGCCAGAGAGCTTGGGGCTTAGTGCCCATGGTCCCCCTACCTTTCCCTAGGAAAAGGAGCTCTATCTCCTCGATGACCCTCTGGCCGCTGTAGATGCAGATGTGGCTAACCACCTGCTGCACAGATGCATCCTGGGAGTCCTGAACCACACCACACGACTTCTCTGCACCCATCGCACTGAGTACCTAGAGAAGGCTGACATTGTGCTGCTGATGGAGGCTGGGCGCCTTGTCCAGGCTGGTAATGTGGGCAGCCCGGGCAGAAGCCCGGCTGAGTAGAGTGGGCATCTGCCAAGAAGTGGCGGGAAGAGAGACAGATGGATTGTTAAGTGCAGTTTCAACCACCCTCTCCACATGAGGCTTGGGCCTGGGCATTGCCTCCTTCTGTATCATGGGAGACTCACTCTACCTTCATAGTACTGGAGTGAGGAAAGGGGAGAGGGGAAGGGAGAGCCACATATAGATGAACTGTCCTCAGATGTGGGAGTTGTAATGCTTTGTGACTGGGTGTTCTTGGGAACCTAGAGGCCCTGGGTCTCTGAGAATTTGATAACCTTGAAGAAGAGAAAGCAGTCAAGTTTAGAACAGCCCTTTGAAAGAAAGAAATGCTGAAGGATGATTATCCAGAGGGACATAACCATCTTCCAGTTCATGGGGAGAGAAACAAGAGGAAATGAGGCTCAACTAGGAATTTAGTGAAGTATGAGGAAAAAGCTCTGCAGTAATGAGAGGTGAAGGAGCCCTAGTGACAACCGTGGTTAAGTGCTTGGTACTAACCAAAAGGTCAGTGGTTCAAACCCACCAACTGGGAGAAAAGACCTGCTCCCGTAATGATTACAGCCTTTGAATCCCTATGGGGTCACTATGAGTCATAATCGACTCAATGGCACACAGTAACAATGAGAGGTGATTGGATGGGAGCTTACAGGTGCCTGTGACTCTCCTTTCAGGGATGAGCATTTGTCTGTCTGTGCTGGTTGGACTCCAGGTGCAAAGAGGATGGACTTGATGAGTCCTGTTCAGAGTCTGGGGGGTCAGGGTCCTACTAGGGTGGGAGGAGGTCCAAAGAGAATGAGAGGTAAAATCTGCACAGGTATTTAGAAAGGAAGGCATGGTACGTGCTCAGAAAAGCCCCCTTCTCACCTCCCCTTCCACCTTGCAGGCCCTCCCTCTGAGATTCTGCCATTGGTACAAGCTGTCCCCAAAGCCTGGGCTGAAGATGGACAGAAATCTGACTCAGGTATGACCCAAGGGTGGGAGGAAAGGGCTCACTCTTCACCACCAAACTGTAGAGAGAGATTTTCTACTAACATTGCTTATGGCCCTGAAACACTGAGGTTTTCAACTGTTGTCCTGCAAACTTAATTTCCCCTGATTCTCACAGCCACAGGCCAGTCAATGTGGAACACTGAGAAAGCAAAGGAGGGACTGGAGGTGGAGGAGGGTACATCTAGCTGCCTGCTCCAGGAAGAAACCAAAAAGGAGGGCGCCGTGGCCTTCCATGTGTACCGAGCATACTGGAGGGCTGTGGGCTGGGGCCTGGCCCTAGCTATCCTCTTCTCTCTGCTCCTCATGCAAGGTAGGAATATACCCTGGAGCCCCATACCCCATCACACCATCACTGTGTGCTGACCGTTCCAAAGCCCAGAGACTCCCCAAGCATGAGCAACAGCTGGGACAAAAGGCATGCCCCCAGATCTGGATTCCCAGCGGCCAGGGGGATGCACTCTATAGCTGTCTCTGACATGCCCTCCAGGCTAGCTCCCATTCTGCAAGTTCAGTAGCATGCTCTCCCCAGAACTGAGGGGTGATGGACCCAGGAAGGAAAGGCACACCAGGGAGGACATAGGAGATTGGCGAGGTGGTGGGGTGGGCCAGGGGCATGAAGAAGAGTAGAAACCAAAGATGCAGAGGAAGGAGGGGTATGTGAGTATGAAGGAGAGGAATCTGACACAGCATTCTCCCTCCCACCCTACCCAGCCACTCGGAACGCTGCTGACTGGTGGCTCTCCCACTGGATCTCTCAGCTGAAGGCAGCTAAGAATAGCTCCCAGGAGGCACCAGCCCCCACCAACCTTTTTTCTTCAAGGCTCTTCTCTCCCCAGCTGCTCCTCTTCTCCCTGAGAAGCCTCTAGTGAGTCGCTGAGGGTGTTCTCAGAGTGGTTGCTAGGCAAGGAGTGAGGGTTGGGGGGCTGATATTTCAGGGGTTGTATCTCATGGAGGGTGGAGAGAGTTGGCACAGGGAGGGAAGGGACCCCTGAGTGGCCCTCCTTTTGGTTACCCACAGCCCCCTCCCCATCACCCAGTGCCCCAGTGCTTCCACTGCCCAAAGCTGCCCCCAATGGCTCCTCAGACATCCGTTTCTACCTCACCATATATGCGACCATTGCTGGCATCAACTCCTTCTGCACCCTTCTCCGGGCAGTGCTCTTTGCGGCAGGCACTCTCCGGGCAGCTGCCACCCTGCATCACCGCCTGCTGCGTCGAGTCCTTATGGTGAGAGGATGGGAGGGTGAGGATGCGGGAGCACAGCCCTAGCCCTGTGGGGGTCTGCCTATCACATGGGGTCCACTAGGGATTCCATCCTACATGTCTTCTCTTAGGGATAAACTAGCCCCTCACACATATAGGGGTAGTACTTGATGACCTCCAAGGCCTGGAATGGCCCAGTTTGAACTGAATTCAAAACCGTTACTTAAGCCTATAGTTTTCTCGTCTGTAAAGTTGGGAGGATAAGAGAATCTATCTTGTAACTATCTGATTTTGGATTTCTAGTGCAGAAGGTTGAGTTAATCATACCCAGTTCATGCAAGGCCCCTTTTTTATTCCACTGTCTGTAGAGCTCTGGTAGCATAGTGCCTAAGGCACTTGACTGCTAACCAGAAGGCTGGCGGTTCAAACCCACCAGCCACTCCTCAGAAGGAAGATGGAGCAATCTACTTCTGTAGTTATACTGCCTCAGAAACCCAAGGAGGGGTCGCTATGAGTCGGGTCGGACTCTACAGCACATAACAACAACAACAGTCTGTAGTAACCTAGGTTCAGTCCCTGGACAATGTGCCTCAGGTGCAGCCACCACCATCTTTCTGTGATGCTATGATGCTGAATAGGGTTCAGTGGAGCTTCCAGACTAAGACTAGGGAGAAAGTCCTGGTGATCTGCTTCTAAAAAACCAGCCAGTGAGAAGCTCATGGGTTACAAGGTTTGATCCTATTGTGCATGGGGTCACCATGAGTTGGGGATCGCCTCAGTGGCAGGTAACAACATATATGTATGAATGTATGTGTGTATGTATGTGTTTATTTATCCCCTTTATTCCCTATTTCCATTTCCCCTCCCTTCCTCGATAAACTAACACTCTGTGTTTAGTATATATCTTTCTGTTGGTGATTTTGCAAAATGCCTATGTGCATATATTTTTAATTTATGTAAATTAGATTGTGTTAGAGCTTACTCTCTTTCTTACTGTTTCTATTTAGGGCTGTTTCTAAGATCCATTCCTGTCACTATATGTATATCTAGTCTGTTGCTTCCTCCACAGACTTATTATGATGATTAAATTAATACATGGAAGTACTTAGGATAGTACCTGGCATGTAGTAAGTATTCTATTAGCTATTTTGTAAGTGTTGTTTCTGTTATTATTACAAAGCCCTTTCTTACAATCTCACAGCCATTGAGTCGATGCCAACTCATAGCAACCCCCGTTGGGTTTCTGTGATGCTAAATCTTTACAGAAGTAGATTGCCCCATCTTCCTTCTGCAGAGCAGCTGGTGGGTTTGAACCGCCACCCTTCTGGTTAGCAGTCAGATGCCTTAGGCATCATGCCACCAGAGCTCCTTTATCCATGATTAGGGCCTCACAATAACCCTATGAAGTAGGTACTACTATTGCTGTTTTACAGATGAGGAACGTGAGGCTCTGACAGTTGAAGTGACCTGGCCAAAATCATACAATTAGTTCTGGAGAGCCAAACCTTAAACCCAGCACAGTGTGGGCCTTCCATTTGCCTGGCAAGGAGCAGCCACTCACTGTCTTGTCTCTCCTCTGAGAGCCATGGAGGGGCCATCTTCAATCTGTGAAGGGGTCGATTTTCTCATAAATAAGAGGTGCTTTAGAAAGACAGGACTATTCCCCAAATAAAGGCAGAGAGTGGAGGGATGGGAACGTGGGAAAAGGGAAAGGGCTGTCCTTGAGACCATCCCTCCCGATGGTAGTCCCAGTAATGGAGCATTTATGGAACGCCTCCTCCATGCCAGGCAGACTATGCTAAACACTTGACTGCTATATCTGTGGCCTTTAATTCTTCCAATAACCCTGTGAGGTGAGGTTCCTTTATCCTCATTTTTCAGATGACAGACAGGAACCTTTGAGAGATTAAGCCCCGTGCCTGAGGTGTGTTCTGGTTACCT